TGTCAGAAGAACTGAGTTTGATATCCAATTTCCCTATTTAGCTATACAGTCTTAATCTTTCTGAGCTTCAGCATCCTCATGTATAAAACAGGGATAAATATCACCTACCTCACAGGTTGTTATGAAGTTTATACAAGATAATAAATTTTAAAGCAAGTAACAGAGTGGCTCTCAAAATATGTTTTGCTGTGTACTTTATAAACTTTCTGGTGCTTCCCTTGGATTTTATGTTTCTCATTCTCCTGTGTAAATTTTTTCTTCTAAATACCTTTCATTTTCCTTTCAATAATCTCAAAACACAAATTTTCTCTTGAGGTAAAAAACAAAGCAAACCACACACACACACAAAATCTTTGCTTTTCATAGGTAAGAATCAATGATTTCTCTATTATTTTGAGAAGTCACTTAATCATAGGAGTATTAAGTATCTCAGTAATAGGCAACAACATTCCATACTATATACTTCCTTAAAACTATAATCTTATCTACCTTATCATAAAGTTAGGATTAAATCTTTAATTTTGAAAAATATTCATTTGTACATAAATATTATGTTATAAAAAGATAGAAAAACTATTTATTGACTCATCATTGCCAGGCAAAGGGGGAATATAAACATAAGTAGGACACAAACCCTGACACTGAGGAAGACATAATTTTCAAGGGAAAATAAACAAGCAACCACATTACAAAGTTATGAGCACTCTGGTAAAGAAGTGCCATAGGAACACAGAGGAAACACCATGAAAGCTGTGTATAGAAGGGAGAGAGGAGAGGCAGCAGGTGATAGGGAAAGTGGGAGAGAAGATGCTAGGGCAGAGCCTTGAAGATTGATCAGAAACTTGTCTGTGGGAAACGGAGAGAAAGGTTTACCTCTAGACAAGTGCAACAGCTGGAGCAAACACATGGAAGCATCAGAGTGCCTGGCACTTTTGGGGAGTACACTGGGGATTTGGTGTAGCTGAAGCGTACAGCTGGTGGAGAGAAGGACTTGGTAGGAAATTAGGCGAGAAAGAAGGGCAAGAGCCTGTTAGGGACTGAATTGTTTCCCTCCCAAATTCATGTGTTGAAGCCCTAAACAGTGCCTCCATATCAGTTAAGCTTCTGGAAGAGAACTACAATCTCAGCAGGGGCTTTCTCACCTCCAGTGCAATCTGTTTGGATCCCCATCCATTACAGCAAGTGCTCTAGTTAAAGACCTCCAAGTGCACTTTAGGAGTCCTCTCTTTCCTACTAACCCTTGAGCAGCACCTGACACTGTTTACCTCCTAAAACACTCTTCTTTGGGCTAGTTTCACACCACACTCTCCTGATTTTCCTCTTACTTCTTTGGCCACTAATTTCCTTTGCAGCCTCCTTCTCTGCTGCCCATTCTTTAAATGTTGATTTTTATAGGCAATCTTAGCTGCAATCACCACCCCTGTGCTACGGTTTCTACATCTTTAGCCCTGATCTCATTCCTAGCATCTAGACCTGGCTTCCATTTTTACATGGCATAAAAGATGTGTCAACCTGGCAGCTTCTTAACTTTCTGGAATCATTCTCATTTCCAACCCTAGCATTTTACCCTTTAGCTATACCAGACTACTCACTTACGGTTTCACACTGACAGCATATGTTATGGAATCACACTTCCTGGGTTTGAATCCCAATTCTAATACTTAACTGTGCGACCCTGAGACAGTTACTTGATTACTCTGCGCCTGAGTTTTCTCATCCATAAAATGAGAAAAATAATAGAACTCTAAAAATCACAAAGGGTTAAATGAGTTAATACATATAAAGCCCTTAAAATCATGTCTGGCACATAGCAAGTATTAGTTTATTTATGTTACTGGGTCTTGCAATACTATATACATACAAAACTTGCCATTCCTGTTACCGGACTCTACATTTTGGTTCCTCGATCAACTTATGGATTATTGGGTTTTCAGGTTATTTTCGAAAATTACTATTTTTACACCTGATTCACATTCTTCTTTGTTGGGGCTCTGTCTCTCTTATCATTCTTGATGACTTAAAATTACATCTTAAAGTTAGAAGGGGCCTCAACAATCACCTCATCTGACGTTTCCACACAATACAGAAATATCTTCTAACTTCTGTCATCCAACCTCTGAACCACTTCCAGTCATCACCAGTTTCATTTCTGAGCACCACCACTTTGCCAGGCCAAACTCTGCTTCTCTGTAATTTCTGCCCAACCTCTGTTTGCCCTTTAGATCAACCCTCAATAAGGCAGCTTCCTTTCCCACATGGCAGCTTTCTCAATACCTTAAGTAACCTCCTACCCCTGCACTAAACTAATTTCTCCAGTCACTTCTCACGTGAAATGATTGCTAATCTTTCTACCACTCTGGATACCTTCAAGTTCCAATTTATACCTGAATTCACTGAAATATTCCAGGTTACGTTTAACGGTACATTCAAGACTAACACCTCCTGTTATGAGATATTACAATTTTATTACAAGGGCTTAAATTTTATGAAAGCACAAAAATTACAGCATTAATGCTGATGGCCAATCAACTATTTTGATTTCAGTTACTCATCTTCCTAAACTTCCCTCTTTCCTATGACCATTTCACAGCCGCACTTTATTATTACAAAGTCCTGCTTTGACTCCTAGATCTTTAATTTTGTCCTCCCACCCAATCTCAATCACTTTATCTGTCACCTTAGTCCTCCTGGTCTCCTAACACTCTCCTCATTTCATTAACATTGCCAATCTTCTCAGGTACCAAGAATTCCCTTTCTTCAGGCACGGTCTGCTTCACAGCATTGTCTTAAACTCATTACGCCAACGACACTATTCCTCAATGATCATCTCAACTGTCACCTCTTCTGCTCCTGGACAAAATGCTGAAGGGAGACACCAAGTCATACAGGCCTGCACTTGCAGCCAAGTCCAGAATTCTTTTCTTCATGTTCAAGATGCTGTATACTAGAGATTCCTAGAGGTAGTATGGTCAGTGCTTAAGTGCCAGAAGGTTCTAGGGTCAGACCACTTGGGTTCAAATCCCAGATCTACCTTTACAAACTTGTGACTTGGGCCAGTTACTCAATTTCTATTATCCCCATCTGTATAACTGGGATAATAAATTCACAGGTTTGTTCAGAGTAGTAAATGAGATAATGCATATACAGCTCTTAGTGCATTGCCTTGCTCCTAGTAAATGCATCGTAATTTTTATTTGTGCATGCATCATAAACTCCACGGAAATTATACGCCTTTGTGGGTTTTCTTCCAGGGAATAATTTTTGCTGATTTTTCCTTCATAGGAAAATCCTTCCTTCTTGCGTCCTCTCTGGCTGTCAAAATATTGCTCCTTCTTTGGGGAACCTCAAGATCTAATGCAACCTTTACAGGCACAGATACATCTGGCCATCAGCAATTTATAATTTTCTTGATGCTCCACCACTACTCATATTTTGGTGTTTGGATTTATTCCATTTTGCCCTTCATTTTATGTTATCTAGAATTACGTTTTATATGACTAAGTCTCAAGCCCCAATTAAAACTGTAAGTTCCCTGAGGACAAGAACTTTGTTTAGGTTCTTCTGTACCCCATACAGCAGTCTACAGACATTACAAGAACAAGATCTATCAGGTGAATAGAATTAATCTGACTCCTTAAGAATAAACCACTTCTCCAGATCTAATTCTCAAGGCAGAACTTAACTTGTAGCAATAAGAAAAGCAAAATGGTAGAAAACAGTTTACAAGTAAAATGATCAAAGACCTTCTTCAACACTATCTTTTCCAGAACTTACTGTTGAGTTTAACTTCTAAAGTACTTTAATTTTAGTATACTTAATTCACTTAACTCAATGCACTTAATTCGATAAACCTAAATAAAAAACAAAATAATATTTGGATTCTAGCTACCTATTACTTCACAGGACCTTGTACCACACTATAGACGCCAAAAAACAAGAGAATCCCATCCCAAACCTATTCCTAACTACCTGCTGAAGATTACACCTACCCAAGCACTTGCCTTTTCCCCTTGGCCGTGCTGCCAAACACGTGGCTACCCTAAGATTTCAAAGTACCTCCAAGGGTGAATGCTTTGCACGTGTGAGGGCTGAGCCCTAAAGTGTGACAATCTCTTTTTTATTTTACAAATCAGGCTCTGAGTCCCACAGTCTACACCAATAACGACTTGTCTCAGACTTTTCTCTCCATCCCTTAAAATGGGGAACGGGGGTGACGGCGGCCACACCCTTTCACCAGGCTCCCTTCCCTCAAATCTAGTTCCAGGTGTGCCCGGAAAGACAGCATCTTCTTCAATGCTCGCTTGGCAGTGTGAAGACGCAGAGGAGAGCAAGGCTTCCTTTTGCGTCTTTATCCCCCAATTCGGGGTGACAGCAAGAAGGAACCCAGGGTCTGAGCGGGCTCTTACCGGCGAAGCGGATCTTCACCAGGTCAAGAGGATGCAGCGCGAGGTTGGACAGGACGCCGCCGCTCACGCCCGCCACCAAGTTCTCGTACCGGACGTGGCGGAATACCGTGCTCCACGCCGACGACCCGGACGCCGACTGGCCCTGGCCCGTCATAGGCTCGGGGCCCGCTGACACCACCGCGCCTAGGGCGGCGGAGGTGGGACGAGATGCAGTGGCCGCCACCGTGGCGACGGTCGCCGCTCTGAAGCGGAACCGCGGGGCGCGAGCCCACTTCCGGGACCGGTGCGCGGCCTCAGACGCCGGGGCACAGGAACGGAGCGGAGACCGCGGCGCAGAAGGAGCGTGAGAGCAGCGCAGGCGTAGGGCACGCCGGCGGAGAGCGCGGAGGCGGGGCGTCCGCCGCCGCCGAGTCCCCGCCTGCCTGGCTCGCCGCGGTGGCCGGCACCGGCAGAGGGACATGCACGGGAGAGCACCGCTGAAGAACCGCCCCCAGGCAACCTCTGTCCGCAAAACTATGAAGCGCCGCAAGGTCCAACTGAAGCGGCCGGTTTCCACGCCGTGGAAGTCACGTGACAGGAAGCAGCCTAGAAGAAGCGGAAGTGGCATGTGCCGGAGGAGGTGGAAGTAACCCAAGCCCAGAGAGAAAGGCTCGTGGAATCGGGGAGAGCCGACAGCCAAGATGAAGGTAAAGATGCTGAGCCGGAACCCGGACAACTATGTCCGCGAAACCAAGCTGGATTTACAGAGAGGTGAGACAAGTTGGGAGGGAGGCCGCCAGCCTTGGGTCTGGCCTCAGCTTCCACTGAGTAAAGCTGCGGGGAGACTGGCACTTCAGTCTCGTTCTTTCCCTGTTCATTTCGCCAAGGCAGACTTTGGTGGATAAGGCCGTTGCGGGACTGGGTAGTGGACTTCTCTTCAGGTCCTTTTTCTAAGAACTTGCCCTAGTGGTAAATGGAAAAGTTAGCTCTCTGGGGAATGCTTCCGCCTCCTGGCTTCCAGGTGCTGCTCTCTCATTGTTCTTGGATTCCTCTTGTGGAAAAGCGGAACTTGAATGAGCCAAACTCATATTTTGAAGGATTTAACAATGAAATAGGCTTCTTTAAGCCTTCCTGCTGCTCTAACTTGTGGCCACTTTACCACTTAAAATTACATACTTCTAGATGTGGGAAGAGACATAGGTGAAACCTAAAGCCATCAGTTTTCTCTTATCAACAGTTGAAATTGAGAATGGATAAAATGAAATTGAGTTTTATTTATCCTTACTAGTCTATTCCCCTATTAACATGTTGACTGCTTGTGAATTAAAGCTTGTGATATCTAAAATGACGAGGGACCAACCATATGTGAACAGAGTCTTCTGAATGAAGAGTATAAGAAGTTCAAAGGCCTTAAGGCAAGGATGAACTTAAGGCATAAAAGAAGGGTCAAGTTATCGGAGTTTGAGTAAAGGATGAGTGATAGAAGATGAGGCTGGAACAGTATTTCGCTATTTTGATTGAGTAGTAGAGGTTGTCAACATATGTGTGAGCATTGCTAAGGAGTAAATATATGACCTCTACTCAAAACATGTTTACAGGTTAACTAACAAGACAGTAAAGTTTCTAAAATATGAATTAGGTTATGTCGCTTGAACTTGACATCATCCCTACTCCTTGAACCTGGTCCCATCTTCTCTGGTTTCACCAGTCGATGCTTTACCCGCAAACAGCTTGCATTTGCCCTTGCGAATCTCAGTGCATTTCAGACATTTTCTTTCAGGCGTCCTGTGGCACACACCTTTACCAATTTCTCTCCATCCTCTGGGAAGCTTTTTCTGGACAATAATTTTTCCATACTTATCTCCTGCAGATACCCTCCACCCCCATTTAAGCATCTTTCTTCTATGCTTTATCACATATTTTTACACTAACATCAGAGTGCTTATCTTACTGTCTCATGGTTATTATTTTGATTATCAGTCTTTCCCATCAGACAGCTTACAGAGGGGAAGAATCGTGTCTATTTCTATATACAGTGTCTTTAGACAGCACCTGGCACATGGTAGGAGCTTCATAAATGTCTGTGTGAAGGAATGAGTGAGTGATTGACTCGTCATAGAATCTCAATGTTAGGTTATTAGTCATCTGATCTTGTTAAGGGTCTTATTTTCTATAACATCTACCAATTTCTTTATACTTTCTGATGGACGTGTTAATGGATAGCAAAATGGAAAAATAGAAGTATTGGAGCTCTGTAAAACATAAAATTAGAAAGACGTTTGTTATCTTCCTTTGTCCTTTCATCCTTATCTTGGTTAGGTGATATTTCCTTGTAAATTTTGTGCAGTATTCAGATATTTATTTGAGTATTCTGATTCGTAAAACCAAGGTGGGCATCTGGGAATCTGTATTTTTAAAACTCCTTTGGCACTTCTGACACAGCTGGTTAACATACAGATCTGTGAGAACAGCCTACATAAATATATGACATAAGTTTGTTAGCTGTGATATCCTCATATTCTTGTGGCATATGGCGGGTGCTCCATATATATTTATTGAATGTCTATTGTTGACTGTATGAATTTAGAGGGGAGCATGATTGTGGTGATTTGAAAAGCTTTATAGAAGACACGAGATTTAAGCTGGATATTTTTAAAGGATTCATAGGGTTTAAATAGGATGAATATTGGAGTACATTCTTGGTAGAAGAAATGGCTTCTGCAAGGGCTCAAGAGTCGGAAATTGCAAGGCAGTTTTAGATGACAGTGACTAACCAGTTTGGCTGGAGCTAAGTTTCAGAACGTACTACTTGAAGCTAAAGAGGTAGGTTGAGATCAGATTGTGGAAGACCAGAAAGGAGCTTGAACATCCTTGCATTGGTCAGAGGTCTCTAAAATGAAGAGGCTGTCAATTGCAGAATGGAAAAAAACAATGAATACTTCAATTTATGTTTCTTATATTAAGAAATAATCTTTACTTTCATAAAACTTGCATTGCTACTGACATGCTCATTTTAGCTATACATTAAATACATAGTCACAGGCTTTCTGTGGTACTTGAGGTATCCCAAGAAAAGACTGGAGGGTTGACAAAGGTGTGCCTGCTTCTGCCTTCAGAATATTGCAGCATATTACAGTTGACATTTGTTGGGGAATTCTGTTATTTCAAATAATAGAATCTTTATAATAATTTGAAAGGTTAAGGAGATGGACCATGAAAATCTTTTTTCCTGCAGAGATAATATCGTTGTAAAGTTCTTAGAAGAGCTGTGGAACGTAGCCATGAATTAAGCATTTTTAAAATTAGCTAAACTTTTTGTGGCTATGAAGACTGGGTAGAAGTTTTTATTTTAAAAATAAAAAATATGTAACTTGCTACTTTAAGGTCCATTTTAATGATGAATGGTAAGTGAGGAAGTGATTAGTTTTCAAAAAATCTTGTACTATGGAGAGATCATTTTGAAAATGTATTTGGAAATGTTTCCATCATTTAAAAATTTTTGTACTGAAAATGATGAAAGTGTCATGTGTAAGAATTCATTTTTGCCAATATAAAAAAATTGGTAAAGAAAATGATCTACCTTGTTTATTTTTTAATTTTAATGAAAAAATACTTTTCATGTTGATAATTTTAATGTTAAAATTATTATTATTTTTAAAGATTTTATTTTTCATTTTTTCCCCAAAGCCCCCCGGTACATAGCTGTGTATTTTTAGTTGTGGGTCCTTCCACTTGTGGCCTGTGGGATGCCACCTCAGCATGGCCTGATGAGCAGTGCCATGTCCGCGCCCTGGATCCGAACCAGTAAAACCCTGGCCTGCCGAAGTGGAGCACGCAAACTTAACCACTCGGTCACAGGGCTGGCCCCAATGTTAAAATTATTAAAATGCCAAATAGTTGTAAGAACAGTTATTGACATCAGAGTAGATGGAAATTTTCTAGACATACTTCAGAAATAACCTTTGCAAAACTGGTAGATGGGACTGAAAATTAAATATACTAGACATAGCCAACTCTTGTATTCTCTTTGGATCTGCTTGTACGGGCAGTCCTAACTTTTTACGCTTTTAAGTGAACCACTTCCACTCTTCGAGAGGTTTACAGTGACTGAAGTCACGTGTTACCTCAAAACCATGCAAAACGGGAAATTGGTTTCAGTATGCCTGTGGTCCCAATGACATGGTACTGTGCACAAGTGAGTTCTGCCTGTGTCTTTTTCAGCTATGATATCGCTTAAAACCAAAGATTAAAATAAACTAAAGTTGAAACCTTTGAATCACTCTATCATATTGTTAAATTGAGTTTTTTTTTTTAAACAAGCATCTTTAGTCATGTGTTGTCACTAAATAAATATGTGTATGTTGAGGGAGAGAAGCCTGCTCAAAAACTCTGTTACTAATGGGGCACACAATCAAAGGAGTTTGCAGACTACCACTATAGGGAACCTTTGAAAGTTTTTGACCGTGGGAGTGACATGTAAAAAAGCTGTGTTTTAGGATGATTAATCTGATAATAGTGTAAACTGCCACCAAATAGAGTAGGATGGTATTACAGTAGTCTAAGTATAAAGTAATAAGGTCCAGAACTAAGTTATAGAAGTAGGAAAAGAAAGGGAAGAATAAATAAGTATTTTGAAGACAACAGAAGTAGGACTTAAAGTTTTGGCATTGGGGAATGTGGAAGATGGAATACGTAAGAATGACTAACGTTTGAACTTGATTGAATGTGAGATGTAGTACCGTTAACAGGGAGTGAGAAAGAAGAGACAGCAGGCTGAAGGCATGGGGTAAGAAGATGCATTTACTTTTAGACATTGAGGGTATTTTAGACATGTGAGTTTAGAATTATTTCCTAGCATAATTATTAACTGAGACAAGATGTTTGGCAGCATAGCATAATAGTTAAGAATATGGGTTCTGGAGCCAGACTACCTTGGTTTGAATCTGGCTCCATCACTTCATAGGCAGATTGCCTCTCTGTGCCTCAGTTTCCCCATCTATAAAGTGGAAGATAGTAATAGAACTTAACCCAGAGGGTGCTGTGGAGTTTAAATGAGTTAATATAAGGTATTTGGAACAGTGCCCAGCACATGGTAGACTCTCTGTGTTTTTTAAGTAAGCAAATAAACATGGAAAGTACTCGATAAATAGTAGCTGTAATCATAACCACCACATTGTGTGCCTGTCAGTGCAGTACTGTTAGCACTGGAGATTGATAGTGTTCCCTGCCCCACAGGAGCTTAGAGTTCAGTCAGGCAAACGTGTATTGTGCCCTTGTTTTGTGCTAGGCGCTCTGCTAGGCATGAGGAGTACAAATGAAGAATGTAGCGGAAGCCCTGCCCGTGAAAGCTTACAACCCTGTTGAAGAGTGTAGTAGGACATAGAAAAGGAAAAGTCGTATGTATATATCAAGTCTCCTTATTTTGCAAGATGTGTGCATTCTATGATTTTCTGGTAATTTTGGAAAGGTTTCTGGACAAAAGGTCTTCTACTATTTTTTTTTTTAAGATTTTATTTTTCCTTTTTTTCTCCCCACACCTCCCTCCACCCCGGTACATAGTTGTGTATTTTAGTTGTGGTATGTGAGATGCCGCCTCAGCATGGTTTGATGAGCGGTGCCATGTCCACGCCCAGGATCCAAACCGGTGAAAACCTGGGCTACTGAAGCGGAGCTCGCGAACTTAACCACTCAGCCACCAGGCCAGCTCCCAGGTTTTCTACTTTTGTATTCTTCACAGTTTTAGGAATAGAACAGCGTCTCTAATAAAGGGTTATTTAATAAGAAATTGAATGGTAAGCTGAGGAAGAACACAGGAAATATTAAATGTGAATTATTTTGCTAAGAGGAGTCATTCTTATTTCAGTTCCAAGAAACTATGATCCTACCTTACATCCTTTTGAGGTCCCACGAGAATACATGAGAGCTTTAAATGCTACCAAACTGGAACGAGTATTTGCAAAGCCATTCCTTGCTTCCCTGGATGGTCACCGAGATGGAGTCAATTGCTTGGCAAAGCATCCAAAGAGCCTGGCTACTGTCCTTTCTGGGGCATGTGATGGAGAGGCAAGTGTCATTCTAAACTAAATCTTTTAAACTAAAAATATGTATATTAGAAATGTTCTTCCTTTAGTTTTGAGTTGCTGTGGGTTTTAATTGGTTTGATTTCATTTTTCTATGTCTTGTTTGCTTTTAATTTCAAAACTAAATTCTGTTTGAATTAATAACTTTAATTTCTTATCTAAACCTAAGAAATTAAAAATGTAGTAGCCTAAGGCTCAATTTGACCATAAATAATAAGTTATGTTTACAGTAAAGATATTTTAAGTGTGAGGTGTTTGCACAGAGAATGTTGTTAATGATTCAACACTTAATTATTTCCCACTCTAGCAAGGAAAGAAAGCTTTGAAACACTTTAAACTAGAATCAATAGATATTTAACAGATTGAATTTTCTGCTTGTTGATATACTTATCCATATGCATTGCATTATTTTAATTCAGAGGGTTTTGTTTTTAGCTGTCTGGTAGGGAGATTCGTAGGCTTTTGAGTGTTGAATTTATTTTTCTTGGAATGTGCTATTCCGGCGCCTGAATATTTTATATTTGTAGTTCACTGAAATTTCCTGGTATGCTTTATCATAGGTTAGAATTTGGAACTTGACTAAACGAAAATGTATCCGTGCACTACAAGCCCATGAAGGTTTTGTACGAGGAATATGCACTCGCTTTTGTGGGACTTCTTTTTTTACTGTAAGTATAACGCAATTAAGTCATTAACTCTTTTCAACATGTATAGAACTGAGCTAGTTGAATATTTTCTGAGTTCATTTATTTGTTCCAGGGCCCTTTTGGAGTTTCAGAATGCAAAATAACTTACTAAAACCCTGAAAAGTACTAGTTTTCTTTATGTAATCTAGCTTTCCTGATACTTTTTGATTTTTTTATAAAAATTGCTTAACATATTATTGAACTAATATTTATAGAACACTGAGAAGTGGGATTAATGCAAAATGAGGCTAGAAAGGTATTTTGGCTTACTCTGAAGGATTTTCAGTGCTAAGGATGAATAATTTGTACTTCATTTGTTAGGCAGTATTAAATCATTGAAGGATTTGTGTGTGTATGTGTGGTAAAATATACATAACATAAAATTTATCCTTCTAACCATTTGTAAATGTACATTTTAGTGGCATTAAGCATGTTCACGTTGTTATGCAACCATTACTACTATCCATCTCCAGAACTTCTTCATCTTCCCAACTGAAATTCTGTACCCATTGTACAGTAACTCCTTGCTCCCCCCTGCCCCCAGCCCCTGTTAACCACTGTCCTACTTTCTGTCTCTATGGATTTTGACCATTGTAGGTACCCATAGAAGTGGAATCATGTAATATTTACCCTTTTGTGTCTGACTTATTTTACTTAGCATAGTGTTCTCAAGGTTCATCCAGGTTGTAGCATGTGTCAGGATTTCTGTCATTTTTGAGACTGAATAATAATCCATATGTATATACCGTATTTTGTTTATGCATTCAGCTATCAATGGACTTTTGGGTTCTTTTCCACCTTTTGACTTTTGTGAATAATTCTCCTATGAACATTGGTGTACAAATATCTGTTCGAGTGCATTGAAAGTTTTTTAACAGGAATGACAGAATCTAAACTGTGCTTTGAGACGATTAATTTGACAGCAGTAAGTGATCAGTTTGGAGGCTATTTTAATAATATGAGTAAGCAGTAATAAGAGTCAACACTGGGGAGTGAAATAGTGGAAAGCAGTTCTTAGGTTTAAAAACATTTTTGAGGTTTGATAGGCTTGACAACTGAGGCGTGCCTAGGAAGATAGTGGCTCCTATCACAGAAATGAGGAAGTCAGGAGTATCAGCAGGTTTAGGAGAGAGTGGGAATGGGAAGGGTATGGTGTGATGAGCGGGACTGCCAATGGGCTATTCAAGTGAAGGTGTCTATCGGACCTTTACAGGTGAGAGTCTGCGGCTCAGGAGGGAAGTCAGAGCTAAACTTAGCATCATCAGTACAGAATGATTGAAGTCATTGTGTGGCATCACTGGGGGAAAATGAGAGGGAAAATGTAGAAATACAGAGCTGTCAGGAAAATAGCCTTGGTGAATGCCCCCACTCTAGGAAATGAGAAAACTCAACTCTAGAGGGCTAGAAGAACTGGTGATTTTTTAAAGAACCGGTTGTGTAGCGTGCTGGGTGCAAAAGCCAGACTGCAAGGGAATAATAAAGGGAAGGGATAGCCGCCTTTAAATATTTGAAAGATGGTCATGTAGAAAAGGAAATAGACTTATTTGTTGTTTCCTAAAGGAGCATTAGGAATCGATGTTAATGTTAAAAGATTTGATTTTGGTATCAGGAAAAAGCTATTTGCTGTCAAAAACCAAAGTAGGCTACTTTGCAAAAGTATTTAGTTGCTTCTCACTAGAGGGGTGCAGACGAGCTCAGGACCCTGTATACTGTATGTTGTGGAAGGAATTGGGTGGGAAGTTGCAGCAGACTACAGCTAAACTTCTTCCAGTTGGTTATTCTTCTGGTTATATCCCAACCAGAGGTTTTACTGTTTTTTTAATGCTTATAATAAATGAAGGCTGAAAATGTTTTGTATTCACTATTCATTTCTCCTTTTCTTCAGGTATTTTTTAAGTAATGTTTGCATGAGTAGAGATAAGACACACGTGAAAACTACTTGTTGGCATAATTTCAGCACTTAATGTTTCAAAAAATACTTAATATACAATGTTGGAAAAGATAAACATTTATTACCTAAATTTCATAGTATTCCTGATATCCCAGTTCGTGGTACCATCAGGTTCTTTGGCTTCCTCAGTCTGGAGGTGAGGTAGTCTAGCCAGGCACGTCTTGTTTGGCTCCTCATTTCTGTGGAACGTTGTTGAACGTTTCTCAGGATGGATAGTCTACTAAGGCTTCTACTCAATAGAGTGTATAGAGCAGCTTAGTCGTTTATAGGCAAGGTCAGTCTTGAGCTTCAGACACTATTTATCAGACACTTCATTGAAAGAAAGAGTCTTCAGGGAGGGCGTGCTCAATGACGATTTATCCTGTCTTCCAGAATATTGACATATTTCATTGAGTCAAGCCAGATCAGCCAAGACCTCAGTACCTAGATTACATCTTACTGGCTCCCAGTAGAATTGTGTTTCCAGAATTTTGTTTTGGTCTGATGCCAGTAGCTCAGCCACCGCGTTGTTAATAAGATAAAACCCTGTTTAATACTTTTAGTCTATTATAAATATGTTCTTAAGGGTTCTATTTATTAGCATTCTCAACAGAAGAAATTCCTGTCTGACCTTAATATCAAAACTTCTTTCCTAATCATTTATCTATTCTAATGTCATGGGCAGTGTGAATTGTTTTGTGGGAAGGGTTTCTCTTTTTTAATTTGCTGCAAGAGAGGAGCTAAATTTACACTCCTCCCATAGATAAATACATGTCTTTGTTAATATTTTTATTTAAAATGTCAATGTGGATTGTATAGAATATAGAAATGTACAAAAAACAGAAAGTTAATGTATCCTGTAACTCTACTTTCAGTTAAAACTAGTGCTTTGGTATATATACAATTGTTCAGCATCACGTATATGATTATTTTATATTTTTAACTCCAAACCAGGTTATATTATGCATTGTTTTGCAGCTTATTTCACCTAATATTTGGAACACATCTGCCACATTCCCAAGTCTAAATGACCCTAGTTTGTTACCTCACCTTGATTTGGGCTAAGGTGCCAGCCGTTCTACCCACCATGGCCTTTTTACCATCTGTGCAACTGTCAGCACAGTGAAAAGGCAAATGATGTCTTTACTAACATTATGAAAATAGCTTTGACCTTGTGGACCCCTGAAAAGTTCTCAGGGTCCTACAGAGGTCTGCAGTTCACAGTCTGAAAACCGCCAACTTAATAGTTTCTGGAGTTTTGTGTCATGCAAAGAAGGACTTTATCTTTGCCACGATTATAAAAATGCCTTCCCTCTAATATTTTCATGTTTATTTCATTTTTTACATTTAAAATTATCTAGAATTTTATTTTTTATACCAGACGTCCAATTGGTTCAACTTTCTAAATGATTAACCTGATATTGCAATACCATTGTATTGCAATCCATTTTTCTCTTTAATTTGAAATGCTATCCTTATGGTAATAAGCATTTTTTGCCATATTTATGACCTAAATTTGTTCCTACTCTTATTCTTCTTTTGCTCTACTCATACTCTTTTATTTTTAATTTTATATACTGTATGTGTGTGTCATAAATCTTTAACAACGTAAGATATAAATGCATCAATAAATATGATCCTGGAAGAATACAGTATGTGTTATTTTTAAAGCTGGAGATGTTGGTAATTTGTATATGTTGGCAAGCTTATAATTTATAACTGTTGTTCTTTATCATCATCATCATAAATATTTCTAGGTCGGTGATGACAAAACTGTGAAGCAGTGGAAAATGGATGGACCAGGCTTTGGAGAAGAAGAAGAACCATTGCATACAATATTAGGAAAGGTACATACTTTGTCTATTAAAATTCTTCTCTTTTACTTAAAATTATTTTATAATTTTAATTTCAGAAAAAGAGGTAAAAAAGAAAGATTTTAGGTTGTAATAATTGACCTAATTTAAGCAATATTTAATGCAATTAAGGTCTTTTGCAGTCAAAGAATTTGAACAGTTCTTCATTGTTCATTGTTATAGAGTTCTATTTCTGTTTTTAGCTAGAGGATGCAATAAAACATTTCCTATAGCAAGGCCATGGGGAGAAGTCTATAAGGTAAAACATTAGGAAAAAATAGCACTTCGGCTTCTATCTGACTTTTATCATCATAGATCTTAGACAAAGCTCAGAATTTCTTTCTTGAAAGAATCCTTTAGGAAATGAAGAAATGTAATAAGATGATGCTTTTTGTATAAATCCCATATATGTTTCTTACATTATTCTGCAAATCAGATGATATGGTTTAGTTATATTTTAAGTATAAATCAGAATGTTTGGCCTACCCATGCTTTAGACTGCTTATATTTTGATATTAAGCGAAATTCAAAAATTAGATTTAATCTTTAAATGTATGCGTTTTCCAAATCATTTTTTCATTTCAGTATTATAGTTAGTACATATTTAGGGTCTGCTTTTTTGGGTTTCAAAAATTCTAAATGTTCTTAAAGGGTGGGGTATGAGTATGAGAGGGAAATCATTTGCAGGTGGTAAAAAATTAGTAATTCCTAAAGCAAAGTTGGTTTTGTCTTTTTTAGATGTGTTTTCTCTAGGTGTTCCAAAAGACTTTTGAGATACTTAGTCTTACCTCTGTCTCTGTGGTGTTGGTGATTAATTCTTACTGTGGAAAAGTTTGTAGGACTTGCCTTCATGAATAGAAAACAATTAGAAACCTTCTGATGCCATTAAGAGCTCCTAAAAGCTTTAAGTGTTGGCTAAATATTTCCCTTTAATTTACTTTGCAAACATTTTTTTTAACGTATGGTACAAAAGCAGACTATAATCTGGACCTAAATAGGTTAATCACATATTTTAAGTGAATAATAGCAAATTTATGAGATTTTGTTGCTTTTAACAAAATTAGCAATCGCCTTCACCAATTTTATTTCTCCCTTTAAATTTTAATTCAGTTGTTAGTGTCTGTGTTTCTGCCCTGGGAATCAGTACTTCATGTGTTAAATGTTGAAGGAAGGTTTTTAGAAATTGCCTTTGCATTTCATTAATTGGTTCCAAGATCCTTCAATACCCAATGATGATTTAAAAATTACGTCATGGGCTGGCCCGGTGACATAGTGGTTAAGTTCGCGCACTCTGCTTCAGCAGCCTGGGTTTCGTGGGTTTGGATCCCTGGTGGAGACTGCTCATCAAGCCGTGGGTGGCGTCCTACATACAAAATAGAGGAAGATTGGCTATAGATGTTAGCTCAGAGCCAATCTCCCTCACCAAAAAAAATAACAACATACAAAATAAAAATAAAAATTACTTCAATGACATGTATTCAGACTTAATTAAATGCATCCCATGTTACCATTTTTCTTTATTCCCACAGTGTGTAATAAGAAACATCACTCGTTATAGTGCTGTTTTCTCCTTTAAGAAACGGCTTCAAAGAAGTTTCTTTGTGAATGAGATTTTTTTCAAAAAAAAATGAGAATGGAGATAAATATATTTGAAATATCATCCTGTAGATTTGAAATAGTAATGAAAAGACCCGTCTATAACAACCTCTTTGCTTTCAAAGACAGTGTACACAGGAATTGATCATCACTGGAAAGAAGCTGTTTTTGCCACATGTGGACAGCAAGTAGACATTTGGGATGAACAAAGAACCAATCCTATATGTTCAATGACCTGGGGATTTGACAGTATAAGTAGTGTTAAATTTAACCCAATTGAGGTAATGTTCCTTTTTGAAATATTTTCTGCTTATTGTTTCCTTATTATTTAATAACTTCAGTTCTGTTTAGGAAACTTTTGAATGTGATATAAGAATTTTCTGAGTTTTAATGGTGTTCTGGCATTTGGTCAGTTTTCCAAATTATATCTGAGTTCTGATACCCTTGGTCAAATCTCGACGTACTTGCCCACAGTTTAGTCGCATATTCCAGTGTTAAGCACCGTTAGAGGAGGGTGTGGGCATGTGCTCCTGGGGGTGGAATTGAAGCAAAGACTGTGCTGTGAAACTTCAGTTTTACTCGTGCCTTCAACACTCATGTTCCTCAGATTACATCATTGTATCTTTAGGAAAAAGTTAATTTTTCTTAACTCTCCTGGAGGTCAAAAGGATCACTGAGCATTGTTTTCTCTAATTATTTGTAAGTGACAGGGGCACCAATGCTTCATAATAATATGCACGATTATTATTGTACCACATGATAATTAGTTACAGTTACGTTTTTCTTTGCTCAGAAGTCTGAATTGTGATTCCTAATTCTTTCCAAGTCTAAGGGGAGAGTTGGAGATTGGCCACTACTTATCATTTATTTAGGTCTGAACTTAGGAAAGGAGGCTGCCCCAAAGGCTAAGCTAGCCCTTGACCTCCAGATCTTTCCCTGATCTTTTTCTTTTTTTAATAATGATAGGTGAACTCATTGCTCAGAAGACTCCGTAAGGATGTCTTTTCCTGCAGAAAGAAAGGGTAATTTTGCTGCTTTTAGATTTTGCTGATTTTGGAAGTTATTAGGAGAGTATCATGTTAGATGGTATAAAAGAAAGTCTTGCTATGCAAGTTTTATGCTCTCAGACCTAAGCTGATAAACGGAGGGAAGAAAGGTCAAAGGAGCAGGGTATAGAAATAGTGGGGTGTATTGGAACATCTGTGCTGCAGTGCCATGTAAGCTTGGCCTTGTGGCCCTGCTGAGAAGTCAGTCAGAAGACCCCCTTCCTGCCCCCAGCACACTCCTGCATACACACTTCTGGGAGAGGCTGCAGGTCTAGAGCAGGGGTTGGCAAACTACCGCTGTGAGCCCACTGCCTGGTTTTTATAAGTAAAGTTTTCCTGGAACACAGCTGTGGCCTTTTGCTACGTATTGTTGGTAGCTGCCTTTGCACTACAACTTTAGAGTTGAGTAAACACTATAGAGACCATATGGCCCTCAAAGTCTAAAATACTTAGTCTCAGTCCCTTTATGGAGGAAGTGTGCTGATCCCTGGTCTGGAGTATCTATCTCTGCTATATCTTCCTCACTCCATCCTCCATCTCCTTTCCCTGTGTCCCCCTTGGTTGTCAGAGTAAGGTGAGGCATGAAAGGGCAAGCCGGCTTTGCAGCGCTGGGCCAAGGTGATGCTAGGCTACAAACAAGCGCTTTGTGGGAACATTTTATGTCCTACTTGGTGTGGAGCTAAGCTGGAACTGTATTTCCTGCCAGTGTCCCTTTGCACATGCCTTTGACCTTATACAAGTCACACTTTCTCTCTGTATTTGTTTATTTTTAAAATGAGATTAATTATGTCTTTCAGTGTACTTCATAGGTTTGTTGTGAGTGTGAAATGTGATAATATATGTGCATATTTTTAAAAGGTGCTACCCAAATTTAAGATGATGATGTTATTACTATTTAAAAACAAAACAAAACAGAAGGACCAGATATTTATTCCTACCTCTCTGAGGAATAAACAAAATCTTTTGCTTCTCTATTTTGATGATACCTGTGTCAAAAGCGCTGATGGCCAATTTTAAAATAATAGTTAATGATTAGTGATGACCAAGAGACCAAGTTTTTCAGATTTGCCTGTGTAACAACTGTATTTGTTCAGCTGTTTTTTTTAACCTTAGGAACTGACTTAGTGGTAAAAACAAATGGTGTGTATATCTCTTATCCTGTGTTAAACTTAATAGAAAGGGTGTGTTGCTGTGAACAAATGGAGTGTATTTGTCTCCTCTAATCATTAATAATTAATTTTCTGTTAAAATATTGAAGCCTAGAATTCTGATAAAGCCAAAAGTTTATGCTGAGCATTGCCACATTTTTTAGTGTGAAAAGTCAGCTTTCAGTCTATGTAGAATTTTTTGCTTTGCTCAGATCAAAGTCTTTATTTTTAGAAATGGAACCTGGTCAGACCTTGAGGTGACATAATGAGAAACTAAGAAAGGTTGAGAGGAGTCACTAACTAGGGGAAAGTGTCAGGAAGTGATTCCAAAAGGAAAGTGTTGGAAAGGACTGAGAAGAGATCACAGTTGTAGTGTTAGCTGGATGATGTTTTATTTGAACTTTGTACACGTGTGTTCACACAGGAGTTAGCTGGCCATATAGCTACTTAGTAGATAACTCTTCTTGTTCCTCCTATATGTGCAGTAGGAAGTAATTAGTAGGGAGAAGCCAAGAGTTAGAGTCAGGAACCAAGAGTGAGGAGAAACGGTGCTACAAAGGGTGGGATTCAGGGCCCCGCTGGTAGCTAGAGGGCTTATTTTCAAGTAATGCCAAGGGTTATGTGAGTACCGTGCCCATTTATAACTGACTTACAAATAAATATTTGAAACATCTTAAAGCTGTTAGACAAAAAGCAGGCCTAATTTATACAGAGTTAATAAACAGGAGGAAATGTTTAACTACTAATACAGTAACAGTTTCTATAATTAGGAAATATTGCCATACAGATAGTAACTTTTAAATGGTGCTACCTAATGCCGCTCAGTTGCAGTAAAATTGGCATATTCCCACATTGCAGGGTATATTGGTACAGCTCTTTGGAAAACAGTTAGCCCTGGATAGCAAAGGCCACAAATTTGTTCACACTTTCCGATTTGGTAATGCCACTACTGAAATTTTATCCTTGGAAAAAGAAGAGAAAAATGTATGAAAGTGTTTATTAAAGTGATATTTATAATACTGAAAAACAGAAAACAGGTCTGAGTTGAAAAATGGTGAAGTAAAGTATATTCTCTTATAAATAGAACACAATTATCTGTACATTGTTGTCACTGGCATCTAAAATATGCCCATGGGGATTTAACAATGAAAATGCTTGACCTAGGTTGCTGAGGTTGTGATTCATTGTACCCTCTTAAAATGGATTTTAAGTCATACCTTTGCATCTTAAACATAAACATTAAGGGTAATTAAATCATTTGTTCACTGAGTGGACATGGTTTGCTGCCAAGCCTGGCTTTTAACTTGTGATTCTTATACTTATTTTTAGACATTTCTCTTGGGAAGTTGTGCTTCTGACAGGAATATAGTTCTGTATGATATGAGGCAAGCTACTCCTCTGAAAAAGGTGAGTTTCAATTTCTCTTCTGCTTTGTACAATTGTTGATTCAGTCCTTTGTAAATCAAGTGACTGAAAATATGGAGCACATGTTTTTTCAGAATTAAATTTTTTTTCATGGAGATATTCTTAGAACCCAAAGTGATCACAGTGGCCTTCTCTCAGCTCCTTGGTGCTTTTTAGAGACCTTTACGTTTCCACTAGGTACTGTATGTAGTCGTCTTTGTGTCTTTCATAATGCCAGTAAATTTTAGGCATCTAGTTAGTACTTATTGAATTGAAAGTTTTTGAATTAAAAGTATAGTCATGCGCTGCATAAAGGTGTTTCAGTTGACAATTGACTGCATATACGGCAGTGGTCCCATAAAATTGGTACCATATAGCCTAGGTACGTAGTAGGCTGTGCCATCTAGGTTTGTGTAAGTGCACTCTGATGTTTGCACAACGATGAGATTGCCTGATACTTGTCTCAGAATGTATCCCCATTATTAAGTGACCTATGATTGTGTTGCATTCCATTATTTCAGGCCTCGTGATTATCATATGACATGTACAGTATTTTATTCTGGAAAGTTTTGTAACTTATTCACATAACCAGCTTTATTTGTTTAGTTCTGTGCTGATGGGTACTAGTTTGACGTTTTGTTTAGACAAACACTATGCTGTTCAAGGTGACGGATTTCCCAATAGTTCTAAGGCAGTCATTCCAGGACTTACATAGGAAAGCTAATAGCGCTTTCAGCTGACTCTAAAGAGGGAGAGAAATATTGTTGGTAAAGAGAGGAGTACCATTATAAAGAAAAGAGTATAAAGTTGATTTCGAGTGTTAGAATTCTGAGTACAGAAAGGGCTAGACATCATTCATGTACCACAAGTCTATGGTCATAGTCCACATGTGAAAGAAATGCTTTTAATATTTTTGTTGTTTCTAAATCAAATAACATGTAATAAATTCAGAAATATTAGAAGCAGAGTATATTCACTGAAGTTTGAGCTAGATAAATGGGATAATCTTTCCAGTTTATGATAATACTTTGGAAAGATTATCACACTCATTCATGTGATCATAGTGGGAGGATCCTATGTGAACTTCAATGTTAGACTTGAAGCAGGTAACCTAATCTGTATTTCTCCTGTCAATGGTGAATTAATAACTACCTTGCAGCACATTGGGGAGAATTCAACATGATACTTTAAGCATTGAGCAGAATGCTAACATGAAGTACTAGTTTAATAAATAATAGTTTCTGGCCCCTCCACCCCTCCGTTCTCAATTTTTAATGACACTCCATTACTTTTAGGGTGAAGAAAAGAATTGTAACCTGCCTGACTTTCAAGGCCCTCCAAAATCCGGTCCCAATTTGTATTACATTTATTTATTTGTTTCAGTCAGTGAGGTCACATTTAAGTATGGTTTTTCACATGCAAGTCACCTAGATGGATGCAGAGATGCTATTTTTTATTATTTCTTTGTTCTGTCTACTAGACTGTCAGTGTTTCTTCTATCTTTTCTTCCCTAAATATAGTGGTTGTCAATCAGGGGTTGTCTTCTCCCACCAGGTGTATTTTTGGGAATGTGGGCAGGGTGTTTTAGAGACCACTACTGGCATTTAATGGGCAGGTGCCTGAGAGTCTAAACATCCTACAGTGGACAGTCACACACATCAAAAGACTATCCTACCCAAAATGTTCCTTTTTTTTTAATTGAGTTCATAATTTAATTGAGTTTACATCAATGTGAGATTTCAGTTGTACGTTATTTCTTGACTGTCAACACATAAATGCTCTCCTGCCCCCCTCCCCCATGCCCACTCCCTACTCCCCCTTCCTCTGGTAACCACTGAATTGTCTTCTTTGTCCCAGTACTTGTTTATATTCCACATATGAGTGAAATTATCTGGTGTCTGTCTTTCTCAGTCTGGCTTATTTCGCTCAGCATAATTCCCGCCAGGTCCTTCCATGTTGTTGCAAATGGGACGAATTTGTCTTTTTTTGTGGCTGAGTAGTGTACCACATCTTCTTTGTCCAGTCATCAGTCGATGGGCCCTTGGGTTGCTTCCATGTCTTGGCTAATGTGAATAGTGCTGCAGTGAATATAGGGGTACACATGTTACTTTGGATTGTTGGTTTCAAGTAGTTTGTGTAGAGACCCAGTAGTGGGATAGCTGGGTCACATGGTAGTTCTATTTTTAGTTTTTTGAGGAATCTCCATACTGTTTTCCGTAGTGGCTGCACCAGTTTGCATTCCCTCCGGCAGTGTATGAGGGTTCCCTTTTCTCCACAGCCTCTCTAACATTTGTTATTTTTTGTCTTAGGTGATTATAGCCCTTTTAGTAGGCGTCAAGTGGTATCTTAGTGTAGTTTTGATTTTCATTTCCTGATGATTAGTGATGTTGAACATCTTTTCATGTGTTTATTGGCCATCTGTATAGCTTCTTTGGAAAAATGTCTGTTCATATCCTCTGCCCAGTTTTTGATCAAGTTGTTTGTTTTTTATCATTCAGTTGTGTGAGTTCCTTATGTATTATGGAGATTAACCCCTGGTCAAATATTTGATTTGCAAATATTTTCTCTCAATTGGTGGATTGTCTCTTTGTTTTGATTCTAGTTTCTTTTGCCTTACAGAAGCTCTTTAGTCTGATGCCCTCCCACTTGTTTATTTTTTCTTTTGTTTCCCTTATCTGAGAAGACATGGTACCAAAATGTTCTTTTTGATAAACACCATAATACACTGGTCCTTCACAGGTCAGCTGAAATCATGCTTGTCTTTTGAAATCTTTCTTCTCCCTGTTAACCCTAAGCTCACCATTAATTTTGCCCCTAATTTGATACTTAATCATTTACTGCTTCATTGTTTATATTTTAACTTTTCTTATATATGTCTCATTTTCCTGACTAAACTATGTTATTCGAGGTCAAGGGACCATTTATTAAGCACTTTTATATTTTTCAATATTTACCACTCTGCCTCTGTATTCAGGAAACAATTATTGATTTTCTTTTTCTGTTCACCAGGTGGAGTACTCTGCACATGATAGTTGTTTACTAAATATTTGCTTAAATTAATGAAAAAAGAAGGAAAGGAAATGAAGTGGGAAATTTATTCATTTTAAAGGGAGTTAATTTCGTAGTAATGGGTTAGTGTATGCTTCTTTTATCAGGTCATCTTAGATATGAGAACAAATACAATTTGTTGGAACCCTATGGAAGCTTTCATTTTTACTGCAGCAAATGAAGATTACAAGTAAGTTTCCCTCTTTTTAAAACCTATTCTATCAGAAATGGCTCAATTGTATAAGTCTTACTAATGAAATATATTTACCTATGTAGTATTCCTTCATATATGTTAGAAAACTGTCATTTGTTTTGCTGAAAAAAATGTTTTCCAAATTGGAGAAGAGCTTCTCAGAAGAGTATTCTCAGTTTTCAAAATAATATAGACCAGTAAACTATGACCCATGGACCAAATCCTGTCTGCTGCCTGTGTTTGTAAAATTGTATTGGAATATAGCCACACTTGTTTATGTGTTGAATATGGCTGCTTTTGTGCTATGATGCCTGAGTTGAGCAGCTGCAGCAGAGACCGTATGACCCACAAAGCTGAAAATGTTTATTATCTGGCCCTTTACAGAAAAAGTTGGCTGATCTCTGATGTAGACCTATAAATAATGACTGAACCATACGTATTTTAATAGAAACTAAAAATATCTGCCTTCAAAATTTGTAGCTCTTCAGCTGGCTGATAGTCATGTTATCAGTATCACTCTTACTTCAGTAAGACAAAAGAAAAAATGCAGTTTCAATCTTTACCTTAATATTTACAATATATTATTCTGTGACTCCACTTAAAGGTGACTTAGCAACCTTATGTTCTTGACCTCAGTGGAGTTTTATGATTCCTTATATATTGCTTTTCACATTGGCTGTCTTGTTTTATCTTTTCCGTATCCCTTTAAGGTGGATAGGACATATATGTCATCCCGCGTTTAAAGATGAGGCTGTTGAAGCAGGAAGTTTTAATCTAGTGAGGAAATAGTGTCATATTCATCTTCTTTTATCCAAAGCATTTATTATAGTGCTATGCATATAGTAGATTCTTAGTACACGTTTTTTTGAGAAGGTAGAAGTTTGTTGTTGGATTGAACTTTATATCTTCTGTATCTAACTTCTGTGTTCCACTGCTATTTATGAAAGTATAAATTAGCTCAGAAATAGGATTTATTACATGATGTTTTAGTGGTACCAACTAGAAACATCTATTATGACTTTCTGTACTAGAAAGAAGCTCAGTTGGATTCTCATTAACTAGCAGTACCAAGCCAAAATAATTGAAACCCTTTTAGCCTTTATTGACATTTTGAAATGAAATGGACTTATTCAAGTTAAAGGCAATAAAAGAATGTCCTGCTGACCAACCTTATTAAGGTTTCTGAAGTTTGTTCTAATTATCTATTTTGGCAAGATATCTTTTCTTACAGTATCTCTGGAGTTTCTCGTTTCTTGCCTTGGGAAGAATTACATATGACACCTGAAACAAAGAGCATGTCTTTTATAAGGAGTAACGATTAGATAGAGTGCCATAATTATTCTTACTTGAAAGTGATCTTGCTGTGGTATCCTTTTTCTATATTTTTAATATTTTCCTTCTTTTATTAGCCTTTAAATAGTCTAATCATTATGAATTAGAAACACAAGTTCAAGTCTTGACCCAGCCAGTAACTACTGTAGAAATTTGGACAAGTCATGTGAACTAGCTCTGTGCCATAGTTTCATTATCTGTAAGAGAGTTGGAATAGATGATCCCTAAAAAATCCTCTAACTGTTGAAACTGTTTATGTAAACATTTTCCATCCAAATGGCTTGATTTGCTTGGAATTGGAATAAATTTTTAAACTTATTCTCATGTAGAAATTAAAACAGTGTATTAAAAAACCAGATTTTTAGAGCTAGACCTGATGGCCTAGTGGTTAAAGTTTGGTGTGCTCCGCTTCGGCAGCCCAGCTGTGGTTCCTGGCTGCAGAACCACACCACTCATCTGTCAGTAGCCATGCTGTGACAGCAACTTACGTAGAAGAACTAGAATGGCTTACAACTAGAATATACAACCATGTACTAGGGCTTTGGAGAGGAGAAAAAGAGAAGAGGATTGGCAGCAGATGTTAGCTGAGGATGAATTTTTCTCTCCAAAAAACCCCAAACCCCCCCAGATTCTTAAAAAACAAAACAAACCTAGTTGAGAACCAGTGCTCTAGAGAGGGACTGTAAAGCAGTTGTCAACTCAGAGATTTAACCTCAAAGATCAGTGTGGCCTTGGCTGAGAGTCCTGTGGTATGTTGGAAGATTTTTAGAAAGAAGAGTGAGTTCTCTCGATGAGAATTTCATGGTGTTTGGGGTATTTTATCATTAGCATCAGTGACCTTTTGTAGTAGTAGTATTAAAAAATACTCTTTTTGAAGTGTTACTTTTTTAAACGTTTTATTTTGAAATAATTTTAGGCTTACTAAAAAGCTGCGAAAATAGTACCTGTCAGCCAACTTCCCCTAATGTTAATGTCTTACATAACGAAAGTTTAATTAGCAAAACCAAGAAATTAACATTGGTACACTACTGTTAGCTAAACCACAGACTTTATTCCATCACCAGTCTTTCCGCTAATGTTCTTTTTCTGTTCTAGGATCCAATGCAGGATCCCACGTTGCATTTGATTGTGATGTCTCCTTAGTTTGCTCAGTCTGTGACTGTTCTTCAATCTTCCCTTGTCTTTCATGACCTTAGCACTTTTGGAAAGGATTTAACTTGTTAATTATTTTGTAAACTGCCCTTAATTTGGGCTTAAGTGACATTTTCGTATTATTAGATTGAAGTTATGCATTTTTGGCAAAAATACCACAGAACTGATAAGTCCTTTTTGACACATCAGATCTGGTACATGACGTCAACATGTTTTATTACTGATGATGTTAACCTTGATCACTTAGTTAAAGTGGTATCTGCAAGGTTTCTCCACTTAAAGTTAGTTTTTTCATTTTGTAATTAATACACGTCCTTCAGGAGGTACTTTAAAATTATGTAGATATCCTGTTTCTCCTCAAACTTTTTCTCACTATTTCTATCATCCTGACGTGTTTTGATGTTGGGAACTTCATCCCAGTAATGTTTTGTTACTATTGTCCACTGTCTGTGTTGGCTCATTTGAAGCACTATTCTTTTGACTGTTGATTAAGAATTTTTAAACCTTGAAAATCTTGAAGTTGTTATCTTTACCAGCTGTGCACAAAATATAGTTTTCTAATTTTAGTACACCCTTTGAAAAACTATGCTCACTGTTATATATCACTGATGGGAGTATAAATTAGTGCAACTTTGTTGGAAATGATTTGTCAATTCAAAAGCCTTAAAAATGCTCGTGCCTTTGGACTTAATAATCCTACGTGTAAGAATCTCTCCAGATCTAATTGAATCTGTCCTGCTCAATTAAAGATTAAATGTCAAAAATTCAAATATCAATTTCATTTAACAATTATTTATAATTATAAAGTTTCCAATTTTTTATTAATGAATAATTTTATTTAAAGAAATTGTAAGTTGTTAATTTATATTTAAATGTAGCCATTAAAATATTTTGAAAGATTATTTAATGGATAAATACTCATGCTACATGAGATAGCAGAATACAGAGCTTTATACAGTATTATCTCAATTTTATTAAAAGTATGTATTTAAATAGCATGGTGAAAAGATTAGAGATAATTACACTGCACTAACTGACTTCCTCTGGGAAGTGGAATTAAAGGTGAGTTTTGTACTCTTTGTACTTTTCTGAAATTTCCACATTTTCTAACAATGAGATTTATAAGGATGAAGGTATGTGAGTGTAATCTTAAGGAATAATAAAAGCTGTTGATATTTTTCCCTGTCCCCTACCTGCCGTGTAAAGAATTGAGCTGTTTATTTACATCTGCGTTACTTAGCCAGTGGTCTTACTTTCACTAGTGTCTTAGTACTGCCGGTACTTCTTTGTAGAAATTTGTACCAAATAATTAAAACTCCTTTTACAGCTTGTATACTTTTGATATGCGTGCACTGGACACTCCTGTAATGGTACATATGGATCATGTGTCTGCCGTGCTTGATGTGGATTACTCTCCCACCGGGAAAGAGTTTGTGTCTGCTAGTTTTGATAAATCTATTCGCATCTTTCCTGTGGACAAAGGTAGAAGCAGGTATGTTACTACCAGTAAACCATTTGTTTTTATTTGATTTTTCCTTGTTTTGATCATGATTTATCTTTTTTGAAAGGTTGTTTGGTTGTGTGTATATGGTGGGCTCACACCCAGGCATTGTGACTTGAGTACCAACTTCTACTGTATCATCTAGGGGCAAAACATCAGCCTCCTGGGCAGTTTCTTTCACTGAACAGGATATTATCTTTATATAGTTCATTGATAAAAAATTTTAGTGTTTGCCTTGGGGAAAAACCTTTTATTTTAGAATTATTTTTAAGTGTTTTATAGTAAACCTTTTTTAATAAAGACTATTTTTTTAGGACAGTTTCAGGTTTACAACAAAATTGAGAGGAAGGTACAGAGATTTCCCATATATCTGCACCTGCACATGCATAGCCTCTCCGCTTATCAACATCACTCACCAGAATGGTACATTTATTGGCAAAGAGGAACCAGCATTGACACATCATAATCACCCAAAATCCAGTTTACCTTAGGGTTCACTCTTGGTACTGTATGTTTTATGGGTTTGAACAAATATATAATGACATGTATCCATCATGATAATTTCATAGAGTATTTTCACTGCTCTAAAATATGGTAAACTTTTAATTTGATAATGAAGAACTTAAATTTTACCCTAATATAATTTAAGAGCAATTAATAACAATAATACCTTACATTTGTTATTTCTTATTCAAATTCAGCTCTTATACACTAAGGCAAAGATTAGAAAAATAACAGTTTAAATTGTCAGGACTGTTTAATCAGCTGTCCCATTCTCTTTTTCTGTGTCTCTCATTCTATAAGCACATTGAGTGTAATTCTAGTGTTTAAGACGTGTGTTTTGTACAGCTTGGCTCTCTACTACGTCTTATACGTTATTGAATGTTATACATCTATATAGTATTATATCATCTATAATTGTATTGAGGTGGTTTACCGAAAACTGGCATTTTAAGGTTTTCAGGGTAATTTTGATTGCATTTGATTTTTTGCTTTACAGGCTGACTTTAAAACCTAATTCTTGTGTAAGATACAGCCCCTTGTATATTGTACTATGGTTTACAGAAGATTTTCATACGCATTCTTCTTGTTCCTTAGTAAGGCATCATATGTGTTCCTGGAAGCATATTCAAAGCAAATCCAAGTAAACTGAGGAAGTTTTCCTGTAAAACTAAAATACAATATAAATATATGTGAACAACACATGCATGCATATGCATATATCTACGCATACTTAATTGAATGGCATGGTCTTACTTGATGGAAGTATAGTTCATTGGGGAGAAGATGGATTTGGTGAAAGATAACAGGGAATGATTGGTGGTAGTAGAAAAGGAAAGGAGACAAGTGAGTACAATCAGGGAAAGGAAAGAACAGAGAACCTATATACTGAGGGTGGGAGGTGATGGTCTGTGCTAGACAACAACAGTGTGGAGCTGGTAAAGCAGTTTACCCAGCTTCATAAAGATTGATGGTAACAGGGAAACTTTCTGGGACCCTTTCCTCACTTAAAAAAAGATCTAGAGGGGCAGGTCCCATGGCTGAGTGGTTAAGTTCGCGCTCTCTGCTGCAGGCGGCCCAGTGTTTCGTTGGTTCGAATCCTGGGTGCGGACATGGGGCTGCTCATCAAACCACGCTGAGGCAGCGTCCCACATGCCACAACTAGAAGGATCCACAGTGAAGAATATACAGCTATGTACTGGGGCGCTTTGGAGAGAAAAAGGAAAAATAAAATAAAATAAAAAAAAAATCTAGAGAACATACAGTTGGGTGGTGTAAGTACAACAGGGTGGAGAAATCTCACCAGTTTAGTGCAATGATGAGAATTTTGATCATTACTCTGAATGATAACTAGCCTGGCTTCTACAGTGCTGAAGGTTTCTGGACCTTCTCACAGAATGAGGTTTGCTTTCAAAGGCACATCGTGTCCTTCTCCTGAGTCACTGGCTTTCTGTTCCACAGGGCCAGGACTGGGGTGCCTCTAAGTGAGGTGCCTAGGGTGCGAAATTCAAGGAGTTATTCATCTCAAGGTTGTGCAAATGCCAACGCTGCATCTGCACCACCGTGAGAGTGAGTGCCTCCTTAAAGTTTGTGCTGTAGGCACTTCATTTGCCTCACCCCTGTCCCAGCCCTGTATTCACAACCAGAAGATTTCAGACAGAGCCTCTTCCTTAGAGTCAGTCAACTTATCAGTACCATTTTTGGTCATAGCCAGTCTGTCTGTCTGACTCTTTGATGTTTTTACTTGTGATAGTTGCATCTTTCTGCCCTCTAATGTGAAGAAGCACTGTAAATTCCTAAACCTTCATTAATTGCTAGCAAATAATTTATCATCACTGTGTATCTGATTTAAAAGGTGTTTAGGGCTGGCCCCGTGGCTGAGTGGTTAAATTCGCGCGCTCTGCTGCAGGCGGCCCAGTGTTTCGTTGGTTCGAATCCTGGGCGCAGACATGGCACTGCTCATCAAACCACGCTGAGGCAGCGTCCCACATGTCACAACTAGAAGGACCCACAATGAAGAATATACAACTATGTACCAGGGGGCTTTGGGGAGAAAAAGGAAAATAAAAAAAAGTAAAATCTTTAAAAGGTGTTTAAATCAAAAGCATACTGACTGGAGTGTTCTGATGACTTAGATCTTCATTCCATCATCTCCACTGTAGAACTCCTGGTGCTGATTCCTGTTTGGCTGTTGCAGCTAACTTGATATTCGCCCGTCATGAATGGTTGGGGTTATTGAGTCATGCCCAAGTCAAGGCTGATAGTTTCTATTCTTCTCACCTCTCTGGGAAATATTAAGAATCAAGAGAATGTGGCCCTCCATCATTTCTTGGCAGTAGAACCTTCAAAGGTAGTAGGACAATACTTTTCTAACATGATACAGAAGCAGACACAAAGAATGGGAAAAAAACAAATAAAGATTAAGAGAAATGGAATGTTTAGGCACCTGTGTTCTCAAGGACCCAGCAGATTAGTTCAAGCTGAATTATTCCAAAGCCAATGTGGGCAACTTAATGCAAGTCTAGCTAAAAAGCTCAAATTTATTCCAAAATTGTATGAAGTGAGGAGTTCTTACACCCCATTTCTGGGGAATTATCTCCTGACGTCATTTGGAGATTTGTAATGATGATCTTAATATGTGTTACTTCCCTTTGGGTTTAGATATAAGTGGTGTTCCCTCTGACCTTTGCCTTCATGAGCTTGAAAGCTAGTTCTGGTTTGTTTCTGTGGTCTGCTCGAGTTTCCTATCATTACAAACATCAAATAACGTAGACAGTGCTTTGATTGATCTGTAGTTTAAAAATATTTTCCTTTGAAAGACCTTAAAATGGTTAAAGTGTATTTTTAAAGTAAATTTTGAGTAGATTTTTAAAAACTACCGTTAAATCAGTATTTGAAAGTAAGCTGTTGGGATTTCATTCAATATTTACTAAGCAAACAAGTAAATAAATTGCATTCACATGGAACAGTTAGTTTATTTTGACTATGTATATAAAGAATTTAAGATTTAAGATGTATTTATCTCCAAATAGTATAACTTGTAGTGAACTTTATGTAGCCATCACTCGTGTAAGCATCAACGTATCTAGAAGGTAAGAGCTCTGCGTAGTTTACCATTAAGGAAGATTCTGAGTTGTTTAAGTGACTAATCTGTTGGGTTTGATGGGTTTAATACATGAACAGGTGATTTTTAATGGTTACCAAAGCCTGATTGAATTTCCTAGTATTTAAATTTGTTATGTTGCTATGGGAAAAAAGAGGTCTTTACGTAGGTAGAGATTATAAGAATTGAGGCATGACAATAGACACATGAAAAGATGTTCATCATCGCTAATCATCAGGGAAATGCAAATCAAAACTACACTAAGATATCACCTTACCCCCGTTAGATTGGCAAAAACATCCAAAACCAAGAACGACAAATGTTGGAGAGGTTGTGGAGAAAGAGGAACCCTCATACACTGTTGGTGGGAATGCAAACTGGTACAGCCACTATGGAAAACAGTATGGAGATTTCTCAAAAAGTTGAAAATAGAAATACCCTATGACCCAGCCATCCCATTACTGGGTATCTATCCTAAGAACCTGATAACAGATATCTCAAGAGTCCGTTGCACCCCTATGTTCATCGCAGCATTATTTACAATAGCCAAGACGTGGAACCAGCCTACATGCCCAGAAACCGATGATTGGATAAAGAAGATGTGGTATATATACACAATGGAATACTACTCAGCCATAAAAAAAGACGAAATTGGCCCATTCACAACAACGTGGATGGACCTCGAGGGCATTATGTTAAGCGAAATAAGTCAGTCAGAGAAAGACGATCTCTATATGACTCCACTCATAGGTGGAAATTAGTATATTGAGAAGGAGATCTGATCGGTGGTTACCAGGGAAAAGGGGGGGTGGGGGGAGGGTACGGAGGGGGAAGTGGTGTACCCACAACATGACTAACAAAAATGTACAACTGAAATCTCACAAGCTTGTAATCTATCATAACATTAATAAAAAAAATATATAAATATAAAAAAAAAAAAAATGTTAACCAGAGTAAGGGTCCTGGTAGTCTTAATGTGTAATTCATATGTACTTAAGCTTGCGTGCTTTTTTCCTCCAAAGATCACAGAGTGTGAGAAAAGAACACGTATTATTCTAAGTCCCCTTTGTCCCAGAACATGCTCTGCCCCAAAATAAAGCTCCAATGTTAATCAAGAAAAAAAAAAAAAAAAAAGAATTGAGGCATGAAAAGCAGAGCATTGAGAGGAAAAGAAAAAGCAGTCTTTGTCCCATCTGCTTTTCATTTTAATAGGGTATTTCTAAGCATCTTCCTTTTAGAAATAAATTTCTCATGATTTATCTACATGTTCATTCAAGAGCTCAAAACGTATGTATTAGAAACAGTGTAAAAGCCTGGTTTTGTGAGTGTCCTTCAGAGATTTGTTCTGTAGATGCAAATCCTCTTTGATTTGGTCGTCATCTGTGGGTTTGCTGTTAGTGGGCAGAGTTTGTGGAGTTTGTTTTCTTTCCCTCAAGCAGTCTGCATTTCGAATCATTTAATCCAGATATGGAAAATTTATTTCTCCAGAAGTCTCCTCTTTTTATTTTTTCTGACCTTATCTTTTCCTTGCTTTTTAATGCTCTTAACACTTCCCAATATAGTATCTTCTGTGAATTCACTTAGCATGTTTCTCAGCCTTTCCAAGTAGGTATGATATTTGACATCTCCATTTATTAAATGATTCTTAACTCATCAGAACCTTCTATAGCCTTCCCTTTCTCTTCACACATGTAAATCATTAACTCTCACTTCAATTAATTAACCTTTTTAAACAATTTGAACAAAACAGAACTCAGTCATTAGAGTCAACATATGGGGATGTCCTCTTTGAATCTTTGAATGCCATTGCATTTATTTTATTTTCCAGTAAAATGAAAAAGAAAAGTGTGGTGGTTGACCTGAATTGATTTGGAGGGGGAAGGCTTATTAAAAGCAATCCATTTCTTATTGTTACAAAATTACTGCAGCTTCAGCATATTTTATTTGTACTATATGACCTCAGTTATTTGTGAACTTTTCTGGGCTTAGTATATTTATATTGTTTTTCTTACTGGATTGTAACTTCTCTGAGAGCAGGAATTTTTTTTTAATTCCCCAGCACTTAGCATAGAATCTTGTTGATTTGGTTCAATACAAATATATTTAAATGAATTTGAATTTCTCTTTTAAACTCTCTTAAAACTAAAAATGGCATCCTCATACTTGATAGGCAGTCGTTAAAGAAAATCTGTACCAAAATCCAAAGGGTTTTAACTTTAATTCCTCTTCTTTAGGGAAGTCTATCACACAAAGAGAATGCAACATGTTATCTGTGTAAAATGGACCTCTGACAGCAAGTACATAATGTGTGGCTCTGATGAAATGAACATTCGTCTGTGGAAAGCTAACGCTTCTGAAAAACTGGGTGTGGTAAGAGACCCCATTTTGTTTCATTGTCAAAAAGCTAGTTTCTAATTTTATTGGATATCATTATGTTGTAAAGAGGATTTATTTGAAGTGCTTTAGGTATTTTGATAAAATTGGCATAGTTGTGATAGAAAAAAAGATGCAACAAAACAGACATGGCTATATTTAGATTGACTTTTTTTGTGTCATAGACACCTTCAGAGGCCTTTGTTAATTCAGAGTTTGATAATATTTGAACCTTCTTGATTCTTTGTGTTTTCCTTCAAGTAGGGAGGAGAGAAGATGTAGGGACTAGAAACTTAGAACTCAGAATGCCTATTTCTTCTGTCACAGGAATAGTAATCAGGCAGATCAAAGGCTGCATATCCCTGTGAAGTCTTTTAATATCAAAGACAGTGAAACACTTACCTTTAACAAAAATACAGAAAGCTTCAGACTTTATAAAAGTTTCCATGAAGATATAACAAATAGTATCATTGGCTGGCTACCTCTGAGTTGTGGAATTATGGTTGATTTTTGTTTTGTTCTTGATGTTTTTCTGAATGTCTCATGTTTTCTTTAATAAACTCATAGAGTGTATCGGAAACAAATATTAAATTTAGGAAGGAAAGGCTTAGTTTGAGGTATTTTCTACTTAGCCCCAGTAGGAAAATCAAGATGATAAACAGTAATTAAAGACAATTCTATTTCAGGTTTAATGATTGCTAAGCATTACACTATGTCTGGGTTTCTGTTCATCATTAAATGTTCTTCTAAATCACATCATCCTTAACATTTGTTACACAAAGCCTAGTAGTTACGGAGTTGAACACTTTTTCTTTTCTGTTTCGGTAATTACTTTCACAGAATAAAAGTTCAAGTGAATAGTTTAGGTGCTTTCTCTTTGTTATTTATGCCTGGGGAAGGTCCAGCCCAGGGGTCCACATAGCCCTGCTCCCTCAGCACTGCTGTTCTTCACTTGGTGGCATCATCTACATTGTAGGCGTGCTGCCTAAAAGGAAATTCAGTGCTCGCAGAGCTGGTATTACTAACATAACCTTGTAAGGGGTAGAATGACATTTGGCCACGTGTCATAAAAGTTTAGTTTGGGAGGGAAAGGGTGCTTCCTAGCTTTGTTATGCTGCAGCAAAACAAAGAACACACCATTCATTAAAATATCAAAATGCACTTTTTCAGCTTACATCACGAGAAAAAGCAGCCAAAGATTATAACCAGAAGTTGAAGGAGAAATTTCAGCATCATCCTCATATAAAACGTATCGCTCGGCACCGACATCTCCCTAAGTCTATCTATAGCCAGATTCAGGAGCAGCGCATCATGAGAGAAGCTCGTCGGCGGAAGTATGTTTTGGGGCATTTGACTCTATCTCATACTCTTTTCTAACTTCCCTCTCTCAGCTCACCAAAAACAAGCAAACAAAAAACCTGCCTTTCAAGGGAATGGTTTATGTGCTGTTGTCACCATTAGAGGTATTTTTGAAGACTTCTCTGGGCTTTTTTCTTTTTCCTGATAAAAGGAGGGAGCAGTGATCATTTAAGATTGTGAAAATTTCCATTGAGAATATATTTAAAGGGCAAACAGTGAAAATGACGTATCAAAACAGGAAAATGCTTCTGTTCATACTAAAAAAACTATTGTGAATAGATAATGTTTGAAAAATGATTTCCAATGTGGCTGGAATTAAGAAAGTATTGTGTGCTTTCCAAATTAAAGAATGCAAAGAACTCGTGCATGTTTCTTAAATAAAAATTTTTCTAATATGCTTCATCATAACATTTGGAATCTAACCTTTTTGCTCTGAAGCAGAGCTCCCACCACTGCCACCACCGTTTTCCTGCAAAATATTCCCTTCTTTGCAATCCTTGAATTCATGCAAAGTATTATAGAAATTCTAAAACAGGGCTCTTTTTTTTTTTAATTAGACTATATAAACGATTATTATTTTGCTGCCTCTGGGAAGATAGGGGGTTGAGTCACTGTGGCAGGTTTTTAAACTTAGTAAAGGACATTGATATGTGATAAGAGAAGAAGCTATTAAATAAAGTAACAAAAGTTGATTTCTAGCTACTTTTTACCTAATCACATTGTGAAAGCCTTTTTTTTCAGTTGGTGGTTTTCCAGTGAAAGAAAATGCTTTGTGATTTTTCCCAAAAAGTTTTCTTTGGCTAAGATGATTTCTCGTAAACTTAGTTATATCTTGTGTATTTTGTTTTATTTCTAGGGAAGTGAATCGTCTCAAACATAGCAAGCCTGGATCTGTGCCAATTGTGTCAGAGAAGAAGAAACACATAGTGGCAGTTGTGAAATAATATTTGATATTCCTACCAATGCTGATGTATAATTATTTGTTACATTTTAATTTGTAAACTCTAAAAGTACTGGCTCTAGCATAATAAACAGTTCGGTCATATGTATAGAGCTTTATTGTTGTTCGTTTTTGCTACCTGAAAAATTGTCTTGAAATAAGGTGGCCTAGTTGATGAGACTATCCATCGTTTTATCCTGATCTGCTTTCTTATTTCATTGACGAATACAGTATTTGCAAACAAACTTATTTTTTGCTGTTAGAAGTTGCAGCTATACTTCTGCTCTGCACTGTCGTTGTAGACACTGTACCTTTGGATTTACATTTAAGACCAAGCATCTCTTCTGCTGCCTTTGATGTTACTTTGGATAATCGTTGCAGTGGTTCTTCCCAGGATATCACATAGCATGTAGATAAATTATGCCAGAACTTTTTTTAATTGAATTTATTTTGGGGGTTCTATTTATATTTGGCTTTTTGAGACTTTAAAGATGATCAGCCTGCATTTATATAACTTTTATAAATAATGGTAATTTTAATTTATGGTCAAGTGAAGATAATAAAACATCCTTTTTCTCAGCATTATAGCTTTGATCCATTTCTGCTAAATAATTTCTCTTCAATTTCACTAAATTGTAAATAGTTCTGCATGACGCAGGTTTGGTTTTTGTTTTTTTAAAATCATCAGCTTAGTAGATTCTATTATTTACATATATGTATATATATAAACCTAAATTTTAGGACATTCTTCATTAAAGAAAAGATTTTAAAAATCCAAAGAAAAAATGTGTCCTTCAAGAATATGTATATTTGTAGTGAAAATGTAAAGAAATGCACATGGATGATAAAGATCAAAATCTGGAGAGTGGGAGGAGGGTACAGTCAGAGTGGGATCCACAGGAGACTAAAACTCTTGTTAAGGTTATTTCTTAAGCTGTGTGTTAGTTCTGTTATTTCATTATAGTTTTCTTAAGGCTAAGAAGAGATCAGTCATCTACCTTTTAATCCTTATGATCTGTTACAGGCCTCAGATTACTTGATTTTCAAGGTGCACCAAGTTCTCTTGTGCATCTATATTGCTCTTAGTTTGGGTGTGGTTTCAAAGAAAATATTCAAATACTGATCCATGAACAGGAGCTTCTGTGTCATTTTGAGTCCTTCAGGAATCATGTGTCTAGGGGCCGGCCTGGTGGCTGAGTGGTTAAGTTCACGTGCTCTGCTCCAGTGGCCCAGGGTTTTCCCAGTTTGGATCCTGAGCACCGACATGGCTCCGCTCATCAAGCCATGCTGAGGCAGCATCCCACATGCCACAACTAGAAGGACCCACAACTAAAAATATACAACTATGTACTGGGGGGATTTGGGGAGAAAAAAGCAGGAAAAATAAATAAAAGAAGCACAAGCTGAGACATGCAGGAGATTTATGGGAGGGAACTGTCTGTGAAGGATAAAGAGGAGGGAGCAGGAGTAGGCAGGGAGAGCCTTCTGGCTGTACCGTAGGCCTGACTCCTGTGACAGGAGAGTGGGAAGGAAGGAGGACTGGGTAGGAAGAGCCTCAGATTGTGGTGCAGTTCTAAAAAAGGTTGGGCCAGCCTACTGGGGTGTCCCCAAGCTAAAGTTGCTTGTCAGAGGAGTCCCATGTGCAAGAATGGGCCAGCACTAGTACCCTCACTGCTCAGTCGGAGCGGGGAGCAGCCCCGGGGAAGCATGGCCTTGCAGTGAATGCAGTGGTGAATCCAGAGGGCTGGCTGCCAGCACCCTGCAGCTGGTACTCCGTCAGCTGTGCTTCCTGCAGCCAGTTGTCTCGAAGGAATTCTGAGCAGAGTATTTCTATAGCTCCACCCCTTGTACTGCACTGATCCGCTTCTTGTGGGTTTGGGGAGCAGCTTCTCCATGGTTCCCATGTACCTCTCAGAAGAGGCAGTTTGGTCGGGTGATTGGTATTCCCTGTCACTGAAGGGCCACAACAGAGGAGAGTACTCATCCTCTGTTTTCCATCATCTGTTTTAAGTTTTCCGCATCCACAGCTGTCACCTTAGCAGGTCTTGTTGGCTTACCTGAGGGTGTGACCGAAGCCTGCATTCCTGAGGGGTCTGAGCCCTTGGTAATCATACCTTTCTCAGGCCTATTCCATGCTAGCTAATGTCAACTGATGGAGTCATTTTGTCTACTTGGTGGTTCAGTGCCTCTTCTATGGTAGATGCTTTCTGGTGCACATGTTACAGAAAAGTATTTACTCTTTATGCCCACTCCCTCATGTCCATCCACATACTTCTACCCCAACCTCTTTGATCTTCTAGCCCTTTCCTTCTACACTTTGACCAGAGGGCCAGCCATTGACCACTGCCCAGGAATCTCAACTGAGGCCACTTCTACGTAAAATGATGAACAGGTACCTTGTTCACAGATCTTCCCATTGGGAAGATTTTCCCTCACCACTGTCTTTCAAGACCAGCCCTTTACATGCCTGTATTGCAGCCACGGTCCATTTGCATCTTGCACCCACAATTTGAGCCAAGCCAACCCATCAGTAAACTAAGCTTGGGCTCTGCGCTCCTCCTCCAGCTTGTTTGCCCCCTCCCCATATGGTTGTAGGTGCAAGTGGGAGGAATGGCACTGATGCAACTGTGGTGGGTGACATGGAGGTCTGTGCAACCTGCTCATACATCTTACTTGTGCCCTCTGGTCCTGCTGGGACTCGATGTCAGATCTACCTTTTTTGTCTTCTGATACACTGACACTGAGTTTATGCAATTTTATGTCTTGGTAGGTTTGACTAAACTCAGCTTGTAATGGACAGTTCTGGGCACATGGTTAGTTGGTGCTCATGGTCAAGCATGCTGTGTCTACCAGAGCTCAGTAACATGCTAGGAGCTTTTTCTCAAAAGGTATAATTCTTTGCTGCAGATGGCATGGCCTTGCTCTGGAATCCTAGAGTCCTGTGTTGTGATTCTCTTATTGGAGAATTGCCATAAACTCCACACTGCACCTTTTCCCACCACTGATGCTTCCTACACCACAGAGTCTACTGGATCTTGTGATCCAAGCTTGAGGACTGCTTGTGTCACAGCCTAGACTTGCTGCAGAGCTATTTCCTGCTTTGGGCTCCATGCAAAGCTGGTAGCTTTCTGTATTACCAACACATGAGCCAGAGCTGCAAGTGTTCCTAGACGTGGAATGTGTTACCTGCAGAACTCAGATGGGCCTGCAAGCACAGTGCTTCCCTCCAATACAGCAGTTATACTTTGTTTTTTGTTTTTGTTTTTGTTTTTAATTGAGGAAGTTTGGCCCTGAGCTAACATCTGTTGCCAATCTTCTTCTTTTTGCTTGAGGAAGATTGCCAATCTTCCTCGATTTTGTATGTGGAACTCTGCCACAGCATGGCTTAATGAGCAGTGTGTAGGTCTGTGCCTGGGATCTGAACCTGTGAACCCTGGGCTGCTGAAGCAGAGCGTGCAGATTTAACCACTCCGCCATTGGGCCGGCCCAATGCAGCAGTTATACTTTGGAAGAGATATCACGGCATGATCCTGGACCTCTGAAAAGTTGCTGATGTGGCAGATCACTGAATCTTCATAGGATTACTTTCTCACCCTCTTGACCACATGTGCCTTAGCAAGGCTTCCAGCAGACTAGCCATCTCTTGCTTGTCCAGCCAATTAGCAGGATGTCCTCAATGTAATGGATAAATGTAATGTTCTGTGGGATGTCCAATCTGTCTAGATCTCTTCGGACTATGAGAGAGTGCAGGAGAGTTCACAGCCCTGGGGAAACATTAAATGACTGTTGTTCATTCCATGTGAATGTGAGCTGTTTCTGGTTCTCTTTTCTAACCAGAACAGAAAATGCATTTGCGAAATCAACAGCTGCATACCATGTACCTGAGACCTAGCAATGTATCTGCTCTAGCAAAGTATACAATGTCCAGCACAGCAACTGATCAAGGCTACTGATTTCAACTGCTTGCAGTGTCATTACAGTCATTCTCCAGAATCCATCTGGTTTGGGCAGAGGTCAGACTGGCAAATTAAATGGAGACATGAAAAAGACCACACCTGCTCCCCCCATCTTTTAGGTCCTTAATGGTGTCACTAATCTCCTCTAATCTATCCACCCGCTTATGCAATATTGTTTTTGATTTACTGTCTTGGTGGGGGGAATGGGGTGGGATTTAAGAGGTTTTTACTTTTTTTCCCCTCACTATCACAGCTCTTACCCTACAGATCAAGGACCAAATATGGTGGTTACTCCAACGGTATCATTCCCAATTATGTACTTGGGAACTGAGGAAAAGACAACCGAGTAGGACCCAGAGGACCTACTGTAAGTTAGACTTGAAATAGGTCTCCATTTATTAAACAACCCCGATAAGCTGCCATTCTAACATGGTCGTGATGACTCTTCAGGTCTTTGGGGATCAAATGTCAACTCAGAACTTGGATCCAATTGTCCTTGAAATATCTGGGTTCCCCTTTCCCTAGTGCACAGTTACCTGAGTAAATGGCCATAGGTCCTTTTGAGGAACATTATAGCATAGACTTGCTGTGGGTTTACAAAGTCCTTCCTCCTAGAGACCAAGCCACCTCTTCAGTCAGTGGTTCCAGATAAGAAAATTGGCTCAGGTCTGGTAACTGAGCAAAAGATTGTGCGTTTTTCTAGTGACTACACTCAGCCCCTACTCCTCCATCCTTGCCTTTTTCTGGTTGTAGATGTCAAGGAGTAGCCTCATGGGATGCCTGTGTATTTTGCCTCAAGGACCGTGCTTTAACTGTTTCCACAACTCCCCGCAGATTAAAGCTATTTGGCTGCTTCTCCAACCCATTGTGGCCTCCTGGCTTCGAGTGGTTAAACTCCACCACCTGGCCTCTATTACTGACATGTATTTGGGGCAAGGGCATGATCACTATGGAATTTAAAGAGCCCAGCTCTGTGGCTGCCTCTCCTACCATCAGCTCTGGCCTACCGAGGAGAACAAGCACTGAACTTTTTGGTGATGCCAGTGCTCCTCTCACCAGCACATTCCTGTCAACCTTGGTGAATAGCGTGTCTTCTGGGCTTTCCCATGGAACATAATCTGGTAGTCTTCTGGCCTTACGAAGTATATCCAGCCAGCATGCCAACTCCCCTCAGCTCTTTATTTCTTCCTTTACAAGCTTCTAGGGCAACACAGATGTTTCCACTTCACTCAACATTGACCAGCACTTTCTCCAGGCTTCTAAGAGCCACCCTAGGAGGGAGTTCACCCCATCCCCTAAGGTCCTTGCCAGGGTGCTAAATCCCATGACATAAGAAAGTGCCTCCAATTCAATGCATTCTTCCTTTTTCGGTGTTAGGTTCCTGCCCCCTTGATCAAGCACCCTCAAAATCCAATCCCACCAGTACTCCCATGGCTCCTGCCAGTATACACTAGCTAATTCTCACAGTTCCTTTGCTGTGTAATCTCTTTCGTCTCTTGTCAGGCCCAACATATCCCCAGCCAAGAAACACTGGAATTTAACTCTAGTTATTAGCCTGGCAGCCTGGAGTGTAAGTGGGGAGTGCTCCACTCCTGTTGCCTTGTA